GCGCGCGGCCCCTCCGCGCCCCTCCGCCTGCTCAGCCCTCGGCTCCTCTTCAGACCCCTCCGCGGACCTCAACGGCAGCTCCAGCGGCGCTCACGGCATCTCCCGGTCGCAAGGCACGGCCGTGCTCCCGCTGCGCCCCATCGYGCAGCCCCACGCGGCACAGAGGTGAGCGCAGCCCCGCGGAACTCGGCTGCTCCCGCTCCCGCCAGCCTTTCCCGACGGCAGCTCCTCCYGCGCTGCCCGCGCGCCCGGCCGCGCTGACCGCCCTGCCTCGCAGCGAGCACCAGCTCGTCGTTGCCCAGGGCCAGGAGCCCTCCGCGCTGGCCGGCGTCTGCTCCGCGGAGCTGCAGCCCTTCAACGCCAGCCGGCAGCCGCGGGCGTACGTGGCCGCCGTGCTCAACCTCACGGCTCCCACCGACTTCGTGCTGGGCGACGGCTCGCGCCGCCACGGCTACTACAACGCTCCCCTGCAGCCCGACGGCAACTACACGGTCCTGCTGCGCCTCGTGCGCCGCGGGCAGCAGGTAGTGCCGCACGCCAGGCTGGGGTGCCCGGCGGCGCCCGCGCCCGCTCCGGCCCCGCGCGAGCTCGTGGCTCCCCGAGCAGGGGCCTGGGCCGCGGTGGCCTGAGCTCTCCCCYGTCTCCTGCAACAGGCGGAGAAGTTCACCTGTGTCGGCTACAGSGTCTCTGCTGGTAAGAGGGCTCCTCTATTCTGCTCTGCTGCGGGCTGCGCTCAGCCCCTCACCCTGTGTCCGAGGCTCCCTCCCACATCCTGCCTTTTCCCAGCTTGGCCGCTTCCCTGGGAGAGCGTTTGGCCAAGTGCAGGGACAGGGGGGTCTTGGTCAGGAGGGCGCTGAAAACCTTTTATTTCTCTTACATGTGGCTGCTGCCATAGCCATTTCCCACTTACATGATCTTGCAAATGCCTGCGACTTTGAGTCTCTGGCAGATGAACTTAGGGAAATCTTTGACCACTTGCACTGACATTTGCTGACCTCCCTTCAGATCTCTGTCCTCATGGTATTTACTGCTCATTTCAATCCTGATGTCAGAGTTCTACTGTCTTTTGGGTTGATGGGGTACCCCTGGCGTTGTCCTGATGCCATCACCTGTGCTGTGGGCAACACTGCAGCATGAGATGCAGTGTTAGGGAGAAAAAAAACTCTCCTTCTCAAAGTCCTCTCCCAGGTGCACTGGCTCTTGCTCACTCTCACTTGCTCCAGCACCATGCTGCAACATGGATAGAACAGGGAGGCTTGTGGCTGGCCAGGACAGTTCTTCCCAGTGCTGCAAGCAGTGTGTTTTCCTTGGTAATGGGTTCTGGAGAGGGATAGGTAGATCTGTTGTCACATATCACTGGTTTGGCAACACAGAGTGGCTTGAAAGGGTTGGCATGGATGGAGTCATGGGTATTGTGCCTCTATGTCAGCATCTCATATTGAGTATTAGTCTTATAGCTCACTGAGACAAGTACAGCCCCACTAATTCAAACACCTCCAAAGGTTCTGGGGACCTCAAAAGGTTCTACCTGGGGGCAGTCAAAAAGGCAGTGCTGATGCTGAAAGGTGTCATGCCAAGCAAGCCTCTACTCTTCCTGCTCTGGCTTAGCTGTTTTGCAGCACAAAACCTGTGGTGGGAGCTGGGAAAACTGCTTTGCTCCCTACTGCCCCAGTGAGATGTCCTAGTGCCTGGTTCACACTGTGCAGGAACCTGAGTGTGGACTGTGCTGGTTGCAGGACAGGAGCCGATCTCTCAGCTTGTCAGGATGGTGGTGGTTATAGCAGTGGTGCTGGTCGTGGCACTCCTGGCCCTGGGGATTTTGCTGCTCTTCAGGTCAGTATGCACCTCACCTCTCCTGCTCTCTGTGGTGCCGTGGGACATCCAGGTCCCCACACTGCCAGGCAACGTGCCATGAAATGACCGTGAAATAAAGCAAGGTGGGAGGCAGGACTATGGGCAACGCTCCCTCCTCCCAGAAATCTCCCATTCCAGCTGCTCTGAGTCTGACTTGCTGTTTTGCAGGAGGAAGCGTAGCACTTCAAAAGCCTATGAGAGGAACAGCACCATCCCCATGAGGAAATGCCGAGGAGGTGCAGTATGAGCAGAGACCCTGATAGCCCTGTCTGGGCAGGCTCTCTGTTAAAAGCACAGGCAGGGGGGTTCTGAGGTCCTTAGCATCAGGTATATGCTGAATAGTTCGCCTTGTGATCCCCAAAGGTGCAAACAAGATGAATACACGGGTCCCAGTGGAGGAACTGCTGGACGTTCTGAAAAAGTTCAAGAGGGAAGAATTAGAGGCAGAGCAAACAGACGATGAATCAGTGAACAGGCCTGGTGCTGGGCGTCTGGGAGAGTATCAGGTCTGGTTTGCCTTTGCTTGGCTACTCTGTCCATCCACACTCAGCTTCTCCTCAGAGATGTGACAGCGTTGGCCTTGGCCAGCCTCAGAACATGTGCTAATGCAGAGTGGGCTCATCTTCTTCCCCTGCAGAACCTGGTCTCCACTTTGCTGCATCCCTGCGATGCTGGGAAGGAACTATGCAATCAGGACAAGAACCGCTACAAGAACGTTGTCCCATGTAAGCAGAGCCTCCCAGAAGCTGCCCGAGGGATTGGGAGGGAGGCAGTACAGGCACTGGCGGGTGTGAGTCCCTCTCCAGCTATTCAACAGTGCTGAGCTCTTCCCCTCGTTTCAGTGAAACCCACAGGATGTTCCCCAAGTCATCATGTTGGACCTACAGCTCTATATCCGGCTGGAGAATCCTGTTCTGCTCCTTAAGTTTCCCTGCAAACTTAATTACACACTTGTATATCTGTTCCTGCTGTCACACATTGCTGAATGGTGCTGCTTCCCATCCAGAGACAGACCTTGTGGGAAAGTGGAGGGAGTGATTTCAATCAAAGCTTAAAGCTTCTCTGGGCCTGACTTTGAGTGGATATTGGCCTTTGCATTAAGGGTCTCCTGCATGCACTGCATTTCCTCCTGTGCTCCGTCATCTTTCAGTTCATTAACTATGCTTTCAAATGTATCCTGAGGCCTGGAGTACTGCTGAGAGGGGAGCAGAAGTCCTGGGATTTCCTAAATCGCCTCTTCCTCTTTAAAGAGTCACATTTGCTGCTGTCCCAAAGGGTCACTCCACCAGCTACTGTCTCCCTTCTCTTTCAGATGATCACTGCCGTGTGGTGCTGCAGTCCTCTGGCACTGGCAATGACTACATCAATGCCAGCTACGTGGAGGTAGGAAGGAAGAAATTAGTATTGGTATCGGTAATTGGAAGGTAGGAAGGAATTGTTATTCTTTTAGGGGACAAGAGAGATCTCAGGTATCTTATTGCACTGAGTGGGACAGCCTTTCTTACACTGGTGACAGCTTATGGACTGGCACTTGTCTTAGGTCCTTGGTGATGTCTTGTCCTTCATCGTTGCTGCCCTCAGGTGTTAGCAGACTGTGGGCTGTGGCTTTCCTTGCATCCTCCCTTAGCTATCTGGAGTATCCTGGATTTATGTGCTATTTTCATCTTTAACAAAAAAGGACCTCAGGGCACTTGCAAAAAGGGGGAGGGACAGGAATGGAGATGTGACCCTTGGATACTGGCTGTCCAGGGTGACCAGGGGTGGTGCTGTCGGACACGCCGTGTTGAGCACTCTTGGCTCTGGAGCCCATGGGAAGGGGGTTGCTCAATGTTTAATGCATGTGATCACAGCTCTTTCAATATGCCTCCCACAGAGCTACCAGAGTCCACGCTTCTTCATTGCAGCTCAAGGTGGGTCCTTACAGCCCTGAAAATTGCCCAGAACTAGCTCAGGGTCCTGCATGTCCCCTGGAGAAGCCTGACCTGGCTCTGAGCCCTTTGTGTATGCGGAGCTGGAATGACAGCAGAGTTAATGGCTCAGTCTGGAGACCTGTATGTCTTGGGTCTCTCAGTTGGTGGCCACTGCTGTTAACGTGGAAGGCCTTGGTGACACTTCAGCAGTGGCCAGGCTACATAAGAAGGCTGTGATATGATCTTTGGACTGACCAAGCTAAGGCCCTGTTTGGAGCATGTGACAGCTCTCAACTGCAAACCTACCCTGTCTCCAGTGGAGTCTGGTGTGACAGGTCTGGCCTTCATGTGACAACCTGCAAATGCCTGGCAATCCTGCACTAGCAGTGAGCCTGGAGCCCTAGTCCTTCTGATGGCACGGAACCAGCATGAATTATTCTGCCCTGGACAGCATGTAGTGAGGACTTTCAGAGGCTCCATGCAAGCTGCTGAGATGCTCTTCAGTAAATAAGACCCCAGATGTGGGAGCAGCTCACAGTCACCTTACAATTCTAGCTGAGGGAGGTGCATGTTGTACTACAGCAAGACTCTGCCCAACCCTCTGGCCACTGGACCCCCAGTAGGCCACCTGGAAGCCCCTGCAACAGCAGTGAGTCCCCAACATACCCTCACCTGCTCTCTCTCTCTCTTCCCTGTGCCCCTCTCTAACATGGATACTGAAGCCAAGGTGCCCAGTGATCCTTGTTAGGTGCTGCTATCCCCACACTGGGCAGAGGGAAAGCCAGGACTGCTCTGTAGTCTGGGAACATCTGCCCTGTCCTGTGCAATGGCTGGGAACAGCTACACTTCCATGACTTGGTCAATGACACGGGACTCTTCTCTTCTTCCCCAAGGCCCCTTGCCTGGATCCGTGGTGGATTTTTGGCAGATGATCTGGCAGGAGAAGACTTCAGTCATTGTGATGCTGACAGACTTAGTGGAGCAGAACAAGGTAGAGAAACCATCTCAGTTTCTTTCCACGGCCCTTTCCTGCTTCTCTTTGCACTGATGCAGGAAGATAATGCAGAGAGAGCAGCTCCATGCCAGACTCCTTCCCTCCTCCAGAGCTGCCTGTTCCCAGTGGGAGCTCACCAACCTCAGACTAGTACAAGGGTTTGATCCTTGGGAGCAAGAGAGGGGGAAAGGGCTCCAACACTGGCAGAACACATCAGCCCTGGTCAGGACCTGATATTCCACCTGAGCCATGGATCAATTATTGCAGTATCTGCAGCCTGCCTAACCAGAGCAATGATTTAGGGGATGCAGTGTACAGCTGCTGGCTTGCAACACGACCCTAATGAGTTTGCTAGTGCTTAGGGGTCTTGATTCTCTTGACAGACCAAGTGTGAGCAGTACTGGCCAGAGCAGGAGCAGGTCTACGGAGACTTCACAGTCACAATCAACAACACGAGGTCCACCACAGGTCTCATCACACGCACGTTCTGCCTGAAGAAGGTAAGACTGGCACGTTGCTGTTGGCGATGCAGGGTATTTCTGGGGGTCCAGCACCTGGTAGGAGCTGTTGGCTGAGAGACCCTGAGCAGACTTTGCAGGTCTCCAGCAGAGACAAGTCAGAAACTGTTTCGAGTTAATTATTCTCAGTGTGGGGAAGTAGAGATTAAAGTGAATTGTGTGGCTAGGTGCTTGGTGAATTTCCTCAGGGTCCATGTCCTTGTTGAGCCCACTTACGTCTCTACCGTGTATCAGTAAGTGTGGTGGGGTGCTGATGCATCCCTGCCATGGTTTTCTCCACTATTTCTCCTACCTATTGTCCTGCAATTATTTGCACAGCTTTCTGGATTGTTCCGGCTCCCAGTCCTCAGTCATGCCTCCCTTTTCTCCCTCTCTGCAGACAGGCTGTGCTCTCCCAAGAATGGTGGAGCAGCTTCACTATCTGCTATGGCCAGATCATGGGGTCCCCAGGAACCCTACCCAGCTCCTGTACTTAGTGGAGAAGGTGAACAGGAAGGTGTCAGAAAACCCTACTGGTCCTGTGTTGGTTCATTGCAGGTACCTGTCTGGGAGTACTTGGGGGCTTGGGGCAAGGCTGGCCAGGGCAGCACTGATGTCTCTGTTTGGATATTTTCAGTGCAGGGATTGGGCGGACTGGTACCTTCATTGCCTTGGACTTCCTCCTGAAGATGGGAAAGGCCCAGGGCAAGGTGGATGTGTTCCAGTGTGTGCAGAAGCTGCGGGAGCAAAGGGTCAGCATGGTGCAGACCAAGGTGTGGAGTATTACTTGTTCCCTGTAGGCTGCAGATTGCAGCTTCTGGTTCTCACTCTGCCCAGGGATGTGTCACACAAAACCTCACATCCCAGGCTGCGTGGTATACGGCCTATTCACAGATGCCAGAGCTGTCAGGAGCCTCAGGCTGCAGACTCTTGTTTTTGAGGTAATTTCTAAACCTAGGCAGCATCTGTGCTTTCCTGAGACCCTCTGAAGTGGGATCAGTCTTTGTATGTGCCAGCATCATGGTATGAAAGGACTGTCTTATAAGAAAGGTGGACACAAGAGAGTCCATATGTTCTTTAGGCCTGCAGGAAATCTGCTCTTGTGTTATCCTTTGGCCATCAGTGTCCTGGCTAAGGGACTTTCTTCCCAAGGTCTGTTCCATACCAGGACCCCATGGACGGCATCTGTAGAGCAGACAGTGTTTCTTGATCGTTTGAACAGAAGGAACTGTTCACAGTTTTTCTGTGTTTCCTTCCTCACAGCAGGGATCTGGGCTGACAGGGAACATTGAATCACAGGAAAATGACCTTGTCAAGGTCATTTCATTTGCTCACTGGCCCTCACCAACACTTGGGAGCTTTTTGACCTCAGAGACCTACGTTAGGGGCATCAAGTGACACACACATATGTGGACTTCTCTCCAGTCTAATGGCTGTGGCCCAGATTCCCAGGGTTCCCAGGGTTGTGGCCCTGGGTGCAAACAGCTGGAGCTGCTCTGGGCTGTACAGCTGACCCGTCTGCTCACACAGGAGCAGTACACCTTCTTGTATGAGGTGTTGCTCGAAGGCCTGCTCTGCGGCAGCACCGGGGTCCCCGTGGAGAGTATCAACAGCCACATCAGCCACCTACGAGAAGCTGAGACCCAGAGGCAGAACATGCTCGAGAAGGAGTTCAAGGTACCACAGGATCTCATTCTGGGGCAAGCTGTAGGGATCACAGGGATCACAGATGCTACTTTGGGTGACTGTAAGGCCAGTGTCTTCTTTACAAGGGGAATTCCAGCACAGTGCTTGCTGATTGCTGGGCAAAGCCTCTCCCTCTGCATGTCTTGGTGTCCAGAGGTGGGGTTGGGGAGCTGCCAGGAACATGTCTTTGAGGCTGTGCCACGAGTGGCTGCGACTGCAGCTCCTTGTGTTCTTGCTTCCTTTATTGCAAAGGAAGTTGCTGATGGGGCTGGTCTCTGGTATCAAGACCCGCCTTTCTGCTCCCCTTCAGCAGTGGGAGGAAGATGAGGGATGCATTTCTCCAGGGACACAGAAAGGGGGAGAGAGGTGCTGATAGGCCAGAATGGCTCATCTGAATCATCCCTTCAGGCCCTGCAGAAGTTTTCCGAGTTCTTCCAGCTCCTGCCATGCAGAGAAGCAGAGAAACCCAGCAACCAGCCCAAGAACCGCAAGCCAGGGATCCTGCCAGGTACTGCTGCCCTTGTCCCATGACCTAGCAATTGGGAACAGCACTGGGGGGAGGAGGTGATGCTGCCCCTCAGCCCTGCTGCTTGCCTCCCCTGCACCACACCACTGCCAGGTTCTGCCCAGGGGAACCCATGACACTTTATGGCTGACAGTACTCCATGTAGGCTAGACTGGTCTGTCCGTATGAGCAATGCCCCCTTGCTTCCTTCTGTGCCAGCCAGGCAGGTGGATTCATGGTCTTCCCCTGGGATAAACATGTCCCTGGGGCAATTCTGCCCCAGAATAGGGCATCAGCAAGCAATCAGGAGGGCAAAGCTGCCACCCCTTGGTGCCTCCACCCATGTGGGCTCGGGACAGCCCATGACAGGTGGCCTTGAGTGCTGCTGGCCCCTGGGCCTGGTAGTGCTTGCTCATCCATGCTGACTCCCAGCACTTGCAAGGAAAACCTCACGGTCTCTGTGCAGGTGGAGGATGTCTGACCCTTGCTTTCTTTGTCCCTTGCCTCCACAGCGGATTCCTGCCGGCCCATCCTCATGTCCTCCCTGAACGCAGATGGCTCCCCAAGTTACATCAACGCAGTGTTCACCGATGTAAGGCTCCAGCCTCAGCAGAGGTGGCCAAGGCTCACAGAGCCCTGCAAACACATCTTTAGACTGTGGCATCCTGGTCTGATGTGTCAGCGCTGGGGCTTCCTCTCAGTAACTGGTTTCTAGTGTCTGGTCCCTGCTGCCAGGAGATGGCCTCAGTGATCAGCCTAAGCCCTGCCTATGCTGGCTGCTGTCCCCCTCATCTCCTATCGCTGTGTCACCCACCTGCAGACTCACCCCTCAGGGACCCAGCATCTGCCCTCCCCAGGGCTCAACATCATCCGAGGGGGCAGGTGGGGGGGGACATGAGGAAATTTCCCAGCAAGGCACTTCTAGGGATAACTGGGGTTACTCTCACCCACTTGCACAGTGGCTGAGACCCATTGCTACAGGTATCCCCTCTGTGGTATTGCTGTCCTTGCACAGGGATGGAAAGAGCAGCTCAGCTGGGAGGAGGCAGGGACCTTTTCCTGGGATTAGAGGGGCTCTGAGAGGGAGGATTAGGTGATCTCCCTCCCCACTCTATTTTGCAGACATACACTGAGGAAGACAGAGTCATCGTTACCCAGCTGCCGCTTCCAGACACACTGGTGGATTTCTGGGCTCTGGTCTGGGATTACACCTGCACATTAGTGGTCATGCTAAACCAACTCCAGGAGCTGGACCAGGTCAGCAGCCCACAAGGCTCCCTCACCTGCCTGGACTCACCATGGGGCCAGGCACTGTGTTTTCTGCCCTGAGCCTGCTGCAGCAATTCCTGGGGCACTGCATTGCTGGGGTCTCTCCACTGTCATGGCATGGGCAAGGGAAGAAGGGCCATCCCTCTAGTTTTGTTTATGCTCACCTTATATTCTTTCTGTGAGGGTGTTATTTCTTCTTGACTGCTGCACTGGGGATTGTTGGTTGCAAGTGCATGGCAGGCAGAACACCCCTGTGCTCACCATGATTTGTGGGCCAAGGGCTGGGCTCTGCTATGCATGCAGCTTGAGGCAATGTGTGATAACATGTGTGTCACTCTCCAGACATACGTGGAGTTCTGGCCTGCCCAGGGGGAAGCTATTTACGGCCGTTTCCATGTCCAGATGATCTCAGAAGAGCCTGGAGCTGGCTTCACAGTCTGGACACTTGCTCTGACCAACAGGCAGCAGGTGGGCTCTTTGCAAAGAAACGATGCAGTGAGACCAAGCTTGGCAAGAGATGGAAGTCCTAGCGGGGCTCCATCATCAGCAGGTTTTGCTCTGGGACTGAAGTCACAGCTCACAAAGGCAGAGGCTACAAGGGCCAGGGAGACCTGAGGAGGTCCTTGGAGAACACTGAATGGTGCAGGTGGAGGTACAGGGCAGAAAACTGTGCTGTCCTTTCTAACTCCAAGGACAGTGGCCATGGACTCTGTGCGTCTTGGTGGTGGTTCTTGAATTGGGACAGCTATTACAGCTAGTGAGTCTCTGCACTGACATCAGTTTGAGCTTCACCTGATAGCTCTTATCTCAGGCTCTGCCTGTCTGTCCATCTCACAACACTCATGGAGAAGGACAGAGCCACTGTTTGGGACTGGGCCATCCCACTGGGACTGCACCCTTGACCTAGTATGCAAGGCAGAGCCAGGACTGGCACGCAGTCCCTCCCTTCACTCCATGAAGTTGGTGGGTTTCTTCTAGGCTCATCTCATTGTGTTTCTTCCCTGCTAGCCCAAGAAATGTGCACTGAAAGTCCAGTTCTGTCAGCTGGAGGACTGGCCTATGAAGCAAAACCTTCCCCCATGCCCTGCCACCATCATCAGCTTGCTGGGGAAGGTGGGGACACACCAGCGACAGAACCAAGATGCACACATACTCGTCACTTGCTGGTGAGAAAGGTCTCTAGCATGGCATGGTCCAGGCTACATCCATGCTGGCAAATATGTATCGCAGTTCCAACCTCAGCCCAGGGGAAGACTGAATTTGTGGATATGGGTTCAGCTGTGTTCATGGGAGCAAGGATTCTGCAGTGGAGGCTGGCTTCATGCAAGATGTCTATATAAAAACATTATGGGAACCCCCAGGCCTGTCTGGTTAGCAGGACACCCCCCCAACTCTCAGTAGGACCAGGTGATCCCAGGCCAAATAAGTCTCCAACTGCACTTCTCTACAGGGACGGTGCCAGTCGAAGTGGGATCTTCTGTGCTGCCAATTTCATCTGTGAGCAGATCCAAAGTGAAGGGCTAGTGGATGTGTCCCAGGCCGTGAGGATGTTGAAGAGACGGCGGAGACAGATGATTAAGGATGTGGTAGGTACCAGTTCCAACCCTATGTGTTCAGCTCCTTTTGGGAAAAAATGAGATCTCCAGAAACCTTATTTTATCCTTGCTAGAACATCCCCAGCCCCTCAGCAGCAAGCTCTGCAGGACCAGGCAGGTGCTGGAGCATCCCACAGATTGAGCTGCCCCTTGTTGGTCAGCAGGCCCTGCTCAAATGAGGGCTATGCCTGCCTGGCACCTACCTCCCAGGTAGGTAGCTAGATAGCTAGGTAAGCCATGATGGAGTAATTGCTTTGGATGGGTGTGAGCAGCAGACACTTGGTGCTGTGGATGCTGCCTTTCCTCCTGAGACTAGCTAGCTGTAGCCCCATAGCTCACTAGAGCACATACCTATGATTTCTCAATGAGGGAAGGTGGGCTGCAGGTGAGAGAAGAGTGATCCCTGTTTGAGGCTCACTCACAAAGCTGCCAGCAGCCAGGCTGATCTTCAATGACAAGCGTTCATGCACCATGTACTCATGTGTGTTCTCTCCCCAGGAACAGTATCAGTTTTGCTACGAACTGGCTCTCGTTTACTTGAATTCATTTGAAACCTATGGAAACTTCAAGTAGAGATATGGCCACCTCTCATCTCTGGCCAGGACTCCATCTCTCTGCCAGTGACTCTGGAAACCAGAGGAGATAGGATGGGTGTACACTTTACTCCTGTATCATTTGCAGCTGGACAAGCCACATTGGTCTGTCTCCAAGTTGTGTGGTCACTGATCAGACTTTGAAGCTGGAACCCTGCCCTTTGCCCAGAGTTTGGATTGGAACTTACTTGTACTTGCAGCCTGGATGTGCAGGCTGGAGAGGAGACTCTGAGATTTGACCTGGGATGGAAAGAACAAGTTGCCCTGGATCCCCTTTCCCTTTAGGCGGCTGTATGGGAGAAGAAGTAGCTCCACCAATACAAGATTATTCCACCAATTGATCAAATGATCTGTCATATCTACAGGGTTCAGGAGCCTGATCTCACTGTCCTGCACTGGGATAAGCAGAAAGCCCAAGGCCAGGAAGAGCTAGGGAAAGGAAAAAACACAGCCTTGTAGGACTCTCCTACTTCAAAATCCCTTCCTCAAAAGTGCTGTGTTGATTGTCCCAGGTGCTATAGTTTTACTAGCTCTGGGGAGGTTCCCTCACCATTTTTTCTGTCTCTACTACAGTGGTCCCTCTAACTTAGCATCTAGGTTTGGGTACCTTTAGAAACATGGAATCATTATGGTTGGAAAAGACCTTCAAGATGATCGAGTCCAACCATTAACCCATCACCATCCTGCCTGTTAAATCATGTCCCTAAGCACCTCATCTACATGTTTCTTGAACTCTGCCAGGGAAAGTGACTCCACTGCTTCCATGGGAAGCCTGTTCCAATGCTTCACCACTCTTTCTGTGTAGAATTTTTTCCTAATATTTAACCTGAATCTCCCCTGACAAATCTTAAGCCCATTTCCTCTTGTATTTATTCTGAAGAAGAGATTGACCCTCGCCTCACTACCACCTCATTTCAGGTAGTTGTAGAGAGCGGTAAGTTCTCCTCTGAGCCTCCTCTTCACACTAAATGACCCCAGCTTCCTCAGCCGCTCCTCAAAAGATTTGTGATCCAGCCCCTTCACCAGCTTTATTCCCCTTCTTTAGGCATGAGGTGCTTCCCTCCATGTCTTTCTTGCAGTGAGAGAGCCAAACAGAGCACAATATTTGAGGTACAGCCTCACCAGTGCAAAGCACAGGGCAATCTTCCCTAGCCCTGCTGACTACACTGTTCCTGATACAAGCCAGGATGCTATTGATACTATGGCAGTTTGGGTCCCAGAAGGGATTGCTGTAGTTTGAAGAGTGGTTCTGACAGTTGAGCAAAGGGGAAGGGATCTCAGAGAGAGGGCTGAACTCCTGACTCTATTCTGTGTCTTTTGAGTAAAGACTTTTTGCTGGCCGTGGTGGCGCAGAGCTCTTTTCTTTGCTGTTCTTCCAGACATGATCCAGATAAGAGTATGCAGGTTGCACAGTTCTGCTCCCAGCACAGGTACAGACCACAGTCTTGCCCAAGGTGTTCATGCACCCACCTCATCCCTACCACACACCCACTACCAACACCAGTGAGAGCTGTTTAGCACAGTGGGTTATGGCAGTCCTTCCTCCCAACCTCCCTTCCCCAAGATTCTCAGCTTCCCATAGGAGATGTGGCCCCAGAAGGGTAGTGAAAGGAGCAGACAGGTAGTGTAGCAGGACTGACAGGCCCCTCCAAACCAGAAATGTTTATTTGTTTTCTGGGCACAGCAGGCAGAACGACAAGGTCCAACTTTGAGCAGAGCCATGGATGTGGATGAACATCAGCAAATGCAGCAGGGAGAGGGGGTGGGAGCTCAGCTGGAGGCAGCAGCACAAGCCCCATCTCAGCCTGAGACCATACAATTCAAGGGCTAGGAAGCCTTTTTTCCAGTTCCTGATTCCAGGACAGCAAAAATGTGAGGTGTTACATGAGTAAGTGAAGGATGGGACAAGGTAGAGGGTCCGGGGAACAGAAAACACAGCCTTTCCTTGGCCTTCTGCTTTCCTCTTGCTCTGCTGAACTAGATGAGGGCTCCCAGGGCTGGTCACTGTCACAGGAGGGCCTGGGGAGCCGGCTGCCATCAGCACCAAGCAGAGGACATCCTCTTCTCCATTTCCTCACTGCTTCGCCTGTCTCCTGATGCCCTCGGCAGAGAACAGAGTGTTGGTTCCCGAAGGAGAAGCTGTTGAGGGCCCTTCACACAGCACGCAGAGATCCCACCAGCACAGCACTGAGCACAGGCGAGTGCCCAACGCTGCAGTGCGGGGCAGTGCCCAGTCGCAACCTTATCTCCAAGTTGTGCCCATTTACAGGTCTCCACAGAGGCAGAGTGGGTGTCCCCAGACTTGGACACGTCAGAGCAGCCAGGCCCAGGGGCCTGTCTCTCCTGCAATCCCTTCCAACAGAGTTTTCCCACCACACAGGTCCAACCCACAGCCCTAGGTCCCTCCAAAGAACAAAAGACAAGTTCTTTGGGCACTCCTCATCGCTTGTCCCTGGCACTGCTTCGGGCTGGGTAGCTGAGCCTAGAGATCTGGGGCCCAGCAAGGAGAGTCATCTTGACCATTCAGAGGACAGGAGAGCAGGGGTAAACAAGGGGCATGTTTCTCTCAGGATGGAAAAGAATGTGAAGATGTTTCTGCCTGGGGTCAGGACATCCTGGAGACCACCTGCTGCCCACCTCAGCACAGCAGCCATCTCTGTGAAGGTGACCTCAAGGAGGTGCTTTTTTCCTACCTTTCTATTTGCTCTCCTTGGCTTGGCTGATCAAAGCCTTCTTTTTCCTGGGAAGACAAAGGCAATCCTGAGAAAAGCAAGGCCGGCATGGCCCGGGGCCATACTGACCCCAGCAGCAGAGAAATGGAGGCCTTTATATCGTGCTGCTCTTGGCCTCTCACAAAAGGAAGGAAGAGCTGTCCACCAACACCTCAAGTGATAGCAGCAGGTGCAGGAGGAACGAAGGAAGAAGGTCCCTTAGTGCCTACGGTCTTGCCCCAGCCCTAAAGCAGATGTTCACAAGCCCCAGGCAAGAGCCCTGCAGCTGAAGGGTGGTCTCAGCCAGAGGGTGGGAGCAGCAGGGGAGAGGCCCCTCACCAGCCCAGCTTCCCCCCAATGCACAAGGCAGTGACAGAGAGGTGTCCCAGGTTCCCAGGCACTCACCTGGACAGCGCAAACCACAGGATCCCGGCAAGCAGGAACGCCAATGCCACGAGCACAAGAATCACCGTAATGGCAGTCCAAGACCACGAGGCTTTCCCTGCAGCTAACAGAGATGAGTGCGTGTCACGGCCTAGGGCCCCAGACTTATGCATGGGGTGTGACACACGTGTCTGGGCTCTGCCATGCGGGGACAGGCAGTGGGGCCTAGTCATGGCCTGCCTTGCAGGGAGCCAGCAAACAATGAAGCTCTGTGTCTCCTTCCACATGCTCTGTTGGTACTGCCTCATCTCTGGCTCTTTCCCCTGGGTCTTTGAAAAGGCAGGAAGAAACAACCCCAGTCAACAAGTCCACTAGAACTAAAGACAGTACCCCATGAAAGACATGAAAGAGGTAGAATCTTCCCTACGTTCTTGGGAATGCAGGAACACCCTCACCTAAGAGAAATAAAAGGTTTTGTCCACCCTCCTCCTCAAGACCCCCCTGTCCCTGCACTTGGCCAAACGCTCTCCCAGGGAAGCGGCCAAGCTGGGAAAAGGCAGGATGTGGGAGGGAGCCTCGGACACAG